AAACTAAACTGATATATTTTTTAAAAGATATCAGAACAAGCAATTATAAGTCAATGAAAAAATGAAAAACAAACAATGGACAATGTATGTATTACCAAGCAAGAGTCAATGAGACTCAATTTTCCCACCATTTCAGAGAGCCAGAACTGCCCTCAAGTCCTTACCTTACTAACATTGAGTGAAGCTAGGGGAGGAGGGGTTTCTGTTCGGTCATTAATTATTTCCACTTCTGAAACATACTGTAAGTTTATGAGCAAGATGTCTGCGTGGTTGGGCTTTCCACTGGAAGAGGGACATTCTGGTGAGAAAATAAAGTTAAGGAAATAGGGGCAAGCACAGCACTGACACATCCTGAAAGGGGCATGGAAAACACAAATCACACAAGGCTTGTGTAAAAGGTGTGCCACGAGCAAGAGACACGGAGCCTCACAAGAACCACAGCTCTCCTCAGGAAATTTCTGCCTGTCACCTTCCTCCCGCTCAACCCCATAACCAAAAGATCTCAAGCTCTTCAAAGCCAAATACGATCCAAAAGTGGAAGCCTCAAAAGGGTTTCTGTCACCTTCTCTCTACCGGCTTTACGGAGAGGAATAACGCAGTTTTAACGCCGTATGTATGCTGTTCGTCTTGAACCTAATGAACCACACAGGAGAGGCACTTTCTGTTCTTGCCATAATACTACCTATATCTAAAGAGTGCTCTTTTCACTTTTTCAGATTTGAGATTTCCCATTTTGCACAGGAGAAAACTACAATACCAGAAAGTGAAAATACAGTACTCATTCGAGGTGACCCAGCTAGTGAACCCATTTATTCATTCATTCATTCACTCATTCTCCAACCATTTATCAAGAGCATACTGTATGCCAATTAAAAGTAAAGCAATTCCTCATTCCAAAACCCTTCCACATAAACTACTAATGTGTAACGTCTTATTTGGTTCAGGTATGAATTCTTGTATTTAAAAAAAAAAAGCAAATAGTCTTGCTGTAATTAGTCTCGAGGACATCTTCCTAATAAGCTAGAAACCCAGTAGTGGTTAAATGAATTAAGATACTTGCCACTCAAATGCAGCAGACTCAGTAGGAAACTTTTCCTTTTGAAAGAAGCCATAAAGGATTACTGTTCAAAAAAAAATCCAAATAAATCCACCTGTGGCTCAAATAAAAGGGGAAGGGGTAGCACATTTATCACAACCAGGAAGTATTTTGTTTCCAAGATTGAGTTTCCTGGAGTAATTCCGAAATCACTTCCACTCCAAAGAAGCAGGCCAGCTTTTCCATTCTGTTTAACGTTGCCAACTTCAAAAGGGAGGATACCACCATGAAAAAGTCAGGACTCCATGTGCAGGGCTGAGCAAGAGAAGATAACTTACTCTTTCACCTGTAACCCACGCATCCCTACATAAGCCCCTGAAAAACATGGTCTTTCCCCTGGACCAGGTTTCCAATGCAAACATCCCCAAAACAGCAATTTTCAAACGGCTGAGAAACCCAAAATTCAACACTCGCCGTCCCCAATGGCACCACGCATACACACGCACCAGCAAAACAAGCCCCTATGCCCAGTTCAGAGACAAACTCTGTCCTGCAGTTACTTTCCCCCAAAACAAGCGAGGCCCATTTGGTCACCATCCCGCTGCCCTTCCTTGGACCAAATCCCATCAGGAGACACCCCCTTGTAAACTCCACACCCCGGCCCTACTAGCAGTTCCTTACTCTACACACCCCCTCCTCACATGATTTTACCCGCCCCCCTTCCATCCGGGCTCCAATCCACCAGCCCCCTCCCACGACCACCCCCTCTGCTCATCACTGTGTCCCCTCTCCTATCTTTCCTCCCGAAAGGCCATCCGCGTGTCAAGCCCCCCTCCACCCACCGACCCTCGCTCGAGGCCCAGCTCCCACAAGGGATGGGAGACAAGATCCCCAAAGGGGACCGAGGGACCGCGAGAGGGGGAGGGGAACTCAAGGGCCGTGCGCATGCGCTCGGGGCGCCGCGGTAGCCGGTCGCCCCTAGGCCCGGAGAGGGCCCCAGCTGCCGCCGCCGTCCCCCACCCCCCCACCACCACACAGACACGCCGGCCCGGCCTCGGGCTCCGCGCAGGGAAGGATACTTAAAGCCAGCATTTTGGACTGGTAGTCGAAGGCTACCACCTCGCCCTGCAGCCGCTGCTCCTGGCACGTCCGGCACGACACCTGGCTCCCAACGCTGAAGTACTCGCCCGGAGGAGCCGCCATCTTGGGAGAGCAGCCGCGGCCGGCGGCGGCGGCGGCAGCAGCGGGCGAAAGCCGGGCCCCCAGTGAGCGCCGCGCCGCGACGCACGGGGCGTGCTGACGTCACACGCCAGGGCGTGGCCTGGTGCTGGGTGGGGCGGGAGCCTAGGTGGAAGAGGAAATAAACGGGAATCTGAATAATTGTGTTTGTGCAGCTGCGCCCGCATGGTAAAGTGCTTGCAGGGGTCCATTTTAGAAGTTAAAGATAAATGACCCACGTGGAATGGAAAGGGAAAGGAGGAGGGAGCTGCAGTCTCCATTACGTTGCACACCTTGACACAAGAGTTTAATGAATGAACTCTGTATTTTACATATGAGGAATCCGAGGCCCAGAGGACTTAATGAAACTTCCTCAAAATGATTGTACTTAGTTACAAAGTGGTAATGGAAAGAATATTGGCTATAGAATTGGCTAAACCGGAATCGGAATTCCAGGTCTCCCACTTACTAAGTTATATGACCTTGAGCAAATTACTAAACCTGCTCCTGTTTCTTTATGCCTTCTGTATTATCACTTATTGAGCATCCGACAACCCTTTGAGGTAAGAATCAATACCCTCATTTTACAGGTGAAGAAATTAAGTCTTAGACTAAACTTGTCTAGGGTCGCACAACTAGCAAGGATTCAGTCTACCTGTCTCCAAAGACAGTGCTACTTACTGCTATACTATATTAGATAATACCTCATAGAGTAGTTAGGAGGTTAAGAGAGATATATGTACAAATGCCTGGCATGTGGTAGATCTAATAAATGGTAATTCCTCCATGATCACCCATCACCCTTGGAACTCAAGATGCTTTCCCATCTCCCCTCTTGCCCTCTCCCCTAGAAAACCAGTCAAAGGGCAGAAGTGAGGAGCAGTGGTAGTGACAAAGGGGGCTTTGGGGTAGGAGTTTGGGGCTTCCCCATTAATGTTTCTAGTCTGATATACAAAGTAGTTTTCTTAACCTGTAAGTACTGTGCAGATACATTTTCAAGCCCTACCATTACCAATTGCCACCCCTAACCCACCTACCCCCTTAGTATAGAAAGTCTGGAGTCTCAGGTATGAGTCACAACAAGTTGACCTTCCTCTAGTCCAGATGGAGGCAAAGGGCCAGCCCTGGCACTACTTAACCTGAACAAAGTTCAGAAGTGTTTCCTTGCCCCGCAAGAGACATCAACTTCCTAATGTTGGGCGTATATTAGTACAATCATTGTAATAGAAATAAACACACTGCCCCCTTATACTTGTGTCTCTTCAGAGAACCTTCCTGTCCAGCCCCCATAACAAGTCATATGTAACTGCCACTCCACTTTTTATATGACGTCGTGATTATAGGTTTTCACATATGACTGCCAGGCACTAGTAGGAAAGGCTTCCCTGAAGAAGTGAAAAATCTGAGACCTGAAGGACCTGCAAGGTATGGCCATGCTTTAGGCAGAGGGAACTCCATGTGCCAGAACCGCTAAGAAGAGAGAGCATGGTGATTTCAAGGAACATGAAGTAACTCACAAATATTATGAAAAGAAGTGTGGGGACAGCCTGGTAAAGGTTGTCTGGCTAGAGACAGAGGAAACTTTCCAGGACTTAGAAAATTTAGCCTTTCTCTTTGGGTCAACTGAAAAACATTTAGCTGGCCAGGCCCAGTGGCCTAGTGACTAAGGTCAGTGCAGTCTGCTTCAGAGGTCCGGGTTCAGTTCCCAGGCACAGACCTACACCCCTCTGTTAGCAGCCATGCTGTGGCAGTGGCCCACATACTAAAAAATAGAGGAAGATTGGCACAGATGGTAGTTCAGGGCAAATCTTCCTCAGCAAAAAAAATAATTAATTAATTAAATTAAAAAATAGCAAGGGAAGGAAATGAGATTCATATCCAGCTTCCCTTCTCCAGAGCTTTTTAATTAGTAAAATTAATCTCTTTCCAAGAAGAGCCCAGATTTACATTCTTATTTTCATCCACCCATCAGAAAACTCTCCAAGAACAAAGTTGCTTGAGGTAGGAAGGAACTGAGGAGCCTGCTTCAACAGTCTCCTCCCCACCCCACCTCTGCCTCTAGGCAGGACTTCACCTAGAATACCTGAGATTTCTATTTTGTGTGTGTTCCTCCAGATGATTATTCCAAATTTTGTCGTGGGTGTGTGCTCTCCTCTTCCCATATGTAGCCAGTTACTATCTCATGGTTTATCAACCCAACGGGGTTTTGGAAGGCAAGAAGACGGAAGTGAGAGGCGGAGGGAGGTTGGGCAAGGCAAGCTTAGAACTGGAAGTGTAACTTAGACTGTGCTATGTGTAAGAATTGGCAAGTCTTTAGGGAAGGCTTATCTGTCAGCCTCCAAATCAATAGTGGATGAATTCGGGCGAGAGAGTCTCGGGCTGCGGGAGGACTGATTAGCTGTATGTGCAAATTAAGAGTCCCGCTGCAGCACCAACCGGGGAGGCCTGGTTCCCTGGAGAAGGGAGTGTCGGTAGCCCTCTCTCCAAGAGATCTCAGAACATCTGCGGAGGGTAGCGGGACTGGAGAAGAGAGGTCTGGTCTGGAAGGAATCCTGGCCCTGGAGATTACACATCCATCTTCGCAGCAGCAAAGCAGGGACCCTAGACGCGCCGCCGATCCGCAAGTTAGCCCGTCCCTTGACCCGGAACAGCAGCGGGAGTCGCCTCTACGCAGGATGCCCACGTGCCGGCAACAGCGGCCACGTGGGGCTCTGTGGAAACGCCTTCGCAAACGTTTGTCCCCTGCGCTGCCCAGTAGAGAGGAAGGCCGGGGAAGAGCGCAGGAGGAAACGGTACCCGCCGGAGGCCCGGCTCACGCGAGCCTGGGCCGGTCGGGGGCGGGTTAGGGGCAGGGCTTGCACCGGTCGCTGGGGACGGGGCGGGGCCTGGGGCTCGGAAAGGTGGGCTTTGGAGGGCGGCGGTTGGCTGCCGCCTTGTCGCCGGGACTGCTCGGCTTCCGTCCTAGAGCAAAGGCGGCTTGGCCGGCCCCGGGATCGCCATGGAGTCCGCGATGAGCGCGGGCATCGCAGTGGCCGAGGCGCTGCAGAACCAGCTGCCCTGGTTGGAGAACGTGTGGCTCTGGGTCAACTTTCTCGGCGATCCCAAGAGCCTCTTTCTGTTCTACTTCCCCGCGGCCTACTACGCCTCTCGCCGCGTTGGCATCGCGGTGCTCTGGATCAGCCTCATCGCCGAGTGGCTCAACCTCGTCTTCAAATGGTGAGACAGCGAAGCCTTCCGGCAGTCTGGCCACCCACCCCTAAGGACCCTGAGTCCTGTGCAAAACCTGATCTCTCTCAGCAAGTGCCCCAGAGGCCTGGATTCCCCTCCCCTCCCAGTGAACCCGTGGCCTTAAGACCTCTCCACCCCTACCCCGTAGCCCCTGACTTTTCAAGCCTTTGAGCATCTTTGTGCATCTTTGACTCAGACCTCAGAGACTCCTCATCCTACTCGTTAGACCAGTTTCTCTCAAACGGGCCTGATCAGAGAAATCACCTAAGGGGCATGTTTAAAATGCAAATACTCCATCCCGCCTCAGACGTAGATTTAGAAACTCCAGAAGAAGGGCTGGGAATCTGTATTTTAACAAGCATCTATGGTGACTTAAGTAGCAGAAAGTCCTGCTTCTCAACTCACTTTTTCACTCATCTATTCGTTCATTTATTTGACGTAGTTTCTAAGAAGCATGCTTTGTGCTGGGCTTCACCCTAGCTGCTAAGGACAGAGAAAGCTTGCAAATTAAGGTGTGGTCCCCGGGACTATGACCAGCAGTGCAGGGAGCGCTTGAAAACTTGCTGGAAATGCAGAATCCCAGGCCAGAGGTACTGAATCAGAATCTGCATTTTAACAAGGAACCCCCCAAGTGATTCGTGTGCAGGTAAAGTTTGAAAAGCACTGGGCTAAAGCATTGCCTTCCAGGGAATACTTTCTGTTCTTCCTTTTGTCCTTCATTCACTAGTAGGCTCTTCCCTCAGACTTAGAAGCCAGGAATCTCAGGCAAGTGGGTGGGGACCTTGGGGCTTATCTCTTTGTGCCCCCTGTTCTCTCTTGGGTGCAGAAGGGAGCTCCCACTGGGCATACAGCTGCCCCCCGCCCCCCGCCTCTGTTGCCAGATCCCCAGCCTGGGAGAGGGAAGGGAGGTTCATAGGAGACACTTGAATCGGCTGGAATGACTTGCTGAAAAAATGAATTTGGAGTTACCTTCCCTTCCACTCTTCTCTGCAAGGGTTCATGCGTACTGTAAAGGGAAAAGCGGTTGTCTAATCATTTCCTTCTTGCCTAATTGCCCTTTGCTTTGTGCTCTCTCCTCCCTCAGTCTGTATACGTCTCCCTCTCTAGTCCTGTTCGCCTAAGAGTCAGCCACCCCCCTGGGTAAACACTCTTAATGCCCCCCACATGTCAAAGCCCCCATTTTCTTTTTTTTTTTTTGAGGAAGATTATCCCTGAGCTAACATCAGCTGCCAATCCTCCTCTTTTTTGCTGAGGAAGCCTGGCCCTGAGCTAACATCCATGCCCATCTTCCTCTACTTTATATGTGGGACGCCTACCACAGCATGGCTTTGCCAAGCGGTGCCATGTCCACACCCGGGATCTGAACCAGCGAACCCCGGGTCACCAAAGTGTGCACTTAACCGCTGCGCCACCAGGCCAGCCCCAAAGCCCCCATTTTCTAAGTATCCTTTGAGCACCTGCTGTGTGAACAAGGCTCCGTTTTGGGCAGAGAAGGGCAAGGCCCTTCTGTACCTCCCTCCCCAGCACTTGGCTTCATGCCAGCGTCTCTTCTGCTCTCCCACCTTTTCTGTCTCTGGCCACAGCAGCCTCTTCAGTGTGTGGCTTCCTGGGGTCCAGCCAAGCACCTGCTAGGGCAGGGGATTTTGAATTTTTTGTTCTTCTTAGCCTTTCTCTGCCTCTTCTCTCCATATCCTACTTCCATTTTCAGACATGAGAGCCTTACCTAAGTAATTCAGGCACAGGTAACTCGGGCTGGAATTTGGGAAATGGAGAGAGGGGAGAGCAAGAGCCTCAGTGAGGGTCTGGGAGGGAGGGGAGGAGAGAGCCAGGTCCTGGGCTCTCTGTGGATGAGAAGAGCAGAGCTGGCCCTGCAGTGAGAAGGGTAAGAGTAGGACTTCTGAGCATCCCAGAGCATACACACACACCCACCACAATCTCTTGCCTGCTTATCACTTTTTAAAAAACAGTGTGCTTTCTTCTGTTCCAAGGTAAAAAGCCATGGGAAGGTAATGGCCCAGACTTGGACTCCCTCCCTTGGGCATCCCAAGACTCCACCCTGCAGGTCCCCCAGAGTACACCCAGGTGTCTTTCTGCCCCTCTTCTGTTCCCCTGCCTATGTGTGTGCCTAATGTCATCTTGCATCTGTTGTCTTCTAGGCTTCTGTTTGGAGACAGGCCCTTTTGGTGGGTCCATGAGTCTGGGTACTATAGCCAGGCCCCAGCCCAGGTTCACCAGTTCCCCTCTTCTTGTGAAACTGGTCCAGGTGAGAAGCCTCAAACCTCCCTTTCCTAGCATGCTTAGGGTCCAGTTGAGGGTTTCAGAGTACTTTTCAGCCAGGGTGGCCCAGCCTCTCAGTGACTGGCCCAGGGAACAAAGAAACCCCAGGAAGACCAAGTTGAATTCTGGGAGGAGAGCACCCAGGCCAGTGTGCCAGCTGCCCACTTTGTTTAAAGTACAGCCAAGAGACACAGATTGTAGCAGAAGCAGTGCTACGAGAGAGCAGTGGCCTCAGGTTGGGGTGAAGGCGGCTCAGGGCAGAGGGAGCTATGGACCAGTGCTGGGGGAAGGCTCTCTTCTCAGCCAGGGGGATGCTGCTGTGTTGAGATCACCAGGGGCACATAGGTTTCACCTTCATCTTCTTACCACAAGCTTCTGGATCCCCCACAGGCAGCCCTTCTGGACACTGCATGATCACAGGAGCAGCCCTCTGGCCCATAATGACGGCCATCTCTTCCCAGATGGCCACTCGGACCCACAGGTACACCTTGGCATTGCCCACCAATGGGAGCAGGGGTGATGGCACCCTGGACCCAAAAGACCCAGCAGCAGGGCATCCTGGGAGCTGAAGTTCTGGGGACCCTGGGGCATTTGGTCAAACCACAAAGTATTTGGGTTCTGAGGGAAGCCAAGCTGTGTGTGGACGCCCCCTGAATCATTTGCCTCTCTTCTTTTTAGCCGCTGGGTGAGGATGATACCTAGCTTGGCTTATATCACCTTCCTACTGGCGGTTGGCCTGTCCCGGGTATTCCTCTTAGCGCATTTTCCTCACCAGGTGTTGGCTGGCCTAATAACTGGTGAGCAACTGGGACAATAGGGTGGGCCCTCAGGGTGCCGTTCGCAGTGGGAGGACCAGTCTAGGATCTTCCTGTTGTACAGCCCACCCCAAGGCCCCCCTTATGTCTCAGTCTGTTCTCTTGCCAAGCTGTGCTGTCACTCGGGGGATTCATAGTCCCAAACTCCTTGAAGCTGCTGTCACCCAACTCCCCTAGGTGCTGTCCTGGGCTGGCTGATGGCTCCCCAGGTACCCATGGAGCGGGAGCTAAGCTTCTATGGGTTGACCTCACTGGCCCTCTTACTGGGCACCAGCCTCATCTATTGGACCCTCTTTACGCTGGGCCTGGATCTTTCTTGGTAAGTCCTGCTTTGAAGCTTGGGCAGGCTGAGGCCTCTCATGCCTCAGTACCTAGCCTGGTGGGTCTCTGGTTTGTTGTTGCTAAAAAAGGACACATTACCTGTTCATAAACATAGACTCTCCTGGTGTCAGAAAAGAACATGGGAGTAGGGGCTGAGAGCCATTGGCCCGCTAGGTTCCAGGGGCATGTCTCTCCTAGCAAAGACTCTTCCTCCCCACAGGTCCATCAGCCTGGCCTCCAAGTGGTGTGAGCGGCCTGAGTGGGTGCACGTGGACACTCGGCCCTTTGCCTCCCTGAGCCGTGACTCAGGGTCTGCCCTGGGTCTAGGCATCGCCCTGCACTCTCCCTGCTATGCCCAGGTACGGCGGGCATACCTGGGAAATGGTCAAAAGATAGCTTGCTTTGTGCTGGCCATGGGGCTACTGGGCCCCCTGGACTGGCTGGGCTACACCCCTCAGATCAGCATCTTCTACATCGTCAACTTTCTCAAGTATACCCTCTGGCCATGCCTGGTCCTGGCCCTCGTGCCCTGGGTGGTGCACATGTTCAGTGCCCAGGAAGCACCACCCATCCGCTCTTCCTGACTTCAGGTGCCTCCTATTTGCCACTTTCCCTCCCACAAAAGCAACACTCCATGATCTCCAGTCCAGGAGGCAGCCCATCCCCTTCGAGCCCCCAACAGTCCCTGTTCATCTTGAATTTCCCACTTCTCCCACCACATGGTCTTAGCCCCAAAGAAGGGCCATGTGTCTTGCAGAAAGGCTGGTCCTCCTCCTGCCTTCCCTCCCAAGTCCCCAAAGAGCAAAGGCAACAGCAAGACCAGTGGGTTCCTGCAACACTGTGAGGGGCTCAGAGCAGCCTCAATAAAGCCCTTGAACATTTCTGGATTCCTCTCTTGCCTGTGCGCACATCTCCACTGAATTTGCCTGCACGTGTGCAAGTGGAACCATGGCCAGGCTGCCTGTTCTGAACCTCCCAACCCTGTTTCCACAGAGGCAAGGAATCAAAAGGAAACGGGAGAGCTGTAAACTCACTTGAGACCTTCAAGCCTGGGCCCCCTCCCCACCATCACCACCTCGGCCACACAAGAGGTCCCTTGAGGTGCTGTGGCTATATTCAGTGAAACCATATCTTTCACCTACGGGACAGAGATCCCACCCCCTCCCACCCTAGTCTCTCGTTTCCTAAATTGGCTGGTCCAGGGGCTGGAGAAAAGAGCAGTTTTTTGTCCAGGAGGGAGAATGAGAACCTCTACTCCATTTGGGAGCCCGAAGAACAGAGACATTGGCTCCAGAAGGCACTGCCAGAAACAAGTTTATTTATACAAGGACACACAGTGTAACGGGTTACAAAATACTTAACTGAAATCCATATCCAGGGAGACAAAGCAAGGAGTGGGTTTACATGAGAACCAGACCAGCCATGGGGAAAGGGAGGGTGAGGGGCCTGGAGCTGGGTTCAGCATGGGGAAGCCTGGTACACTGGGCCCAGCCCCATCCCCATCCCCCAAGAGGATCTAGAATACACTAACAACACACAAGACACAAGCACACAATGAACCGATGGTGGTGGGACTCCTGCCCCTCACCTGGCTCCCTCAACCCTGCTCAGGCCCCCGTTAGGATAATAAATATGTAAACAGATTGGTGGGGCCCTGGGGATGGGAGGAAAGAAAGTATACGTGGTGTTGGGAAGGAGGAGGGAGGAAGTTGGCCCCCTAGGAGCCGCTTCCCATCTTTGGTTTCCTATAGGCTGGACAGCATTCCCTAGAAGCCTTGTAGGCCCCCAACCCTGGAAACAGAGGGCTAGGCTGGGCTCCTAGGGAAGAAAGGGTGGTGCCCAGCCCCCTCCTGGTCTTAGCTCCCTTGGGCTGGTGGCCAGCAAAGGAAGCCCAGGAGAAAGGGAAGCTACAGCTGAGGGCAGACTCCTGGGTTCTAGTCCTACCCCTTCTAAAACCCCACTCTCACCACCCCCAGGCTTCAAAGCAAAAGGCCTCAGGAGGGAGGGAGGCCACTGACCCTTCTACTCGCAGCATGCTGGATGGCTGGGGAAATCTGGTCCTGAACAGCAGGGGGGCTCTCACCAGCCTGGAGCCCCCCTGCAGGGACCACCTTCTCCCCCTCCCCAGGCTGTGCTAGCAGAGGGCAAGGAGGCCAGTAGAGTAAGGTAGAGAGCAGGCCTGTTTCTGTGGCTCCTCCTGGTCCCTCAGAACCCAGGAGTCCAGCCCTATCCCTCCCCATACACTTTCACCCCCTCCAGCCCCTGGGAAGGGGAAGTAGGCCCTGAGGAGTGTGAGGCAAGACAGCTCTGCCCCCAGACCTCAGGCCCATGTCCTAGGGGACAGCCTTCCCCTTGGTGCTGAGGCCAGGAGAAAGGAGGAGGAGAAAGGAGCCTGTGCAGAGATGGTGAGGACAACAGAAGGGGAAAAGGGTGGGGCATTGCAGGGCGGGAGCCCACCTCCCCTCCACTCTACATCTACATCTTAGAGTGTAGAGGGACCCTCCGGATCCTCCCCTGAGGCTGGAGAGGGGAGGAGGGTGAAATTAAGGCATTTCCCCCCAAGTCAGCTGAAGCCAAGGCACCGGACTTACTGTTCCCTCCTCACTCAGAACCGGAAGGTACTATCTTGGCCCCCATGCCCACCTTGAGCTGGCCCAGGCTTCCAGGGGGAAAAGGACAGAATGCAGGAAAGTGGGTGTGGGATACAACATGGCGAAGGGGCTGGAAAGGGCACCCCCAGGCCCTATAGAGGGAGCAAACTCCTAGAGCTGAGATGTGGGCCACAGTCCGCGGGGGAGGTGGGGGGCCTGAGGCAGCTTAGAGGAGCAGGAGGGGCAAGGCTGAGAGACCCACACGGCACACGTTGTTGAATGTGTGACTTTTTGTTTTTAATAGAAAAAATAAACAAAATCACAATGATGAAGCCCAGAGGGAATTGGGGCCAGGGCATCACAGGGCAGGCTCCTGCTCCATGGGCTCCTCTGCTGGCCTGTGGGGACAAGCACAGGGAGGGGCACTGAGTAGGGAGTACCAGCTTGGGCAAGGGCAAAGAGGTGGGGGGAACCTTACCTGGGGCTGTGCTCCCGGGCTGCAGCAGCCTGGGCCTGCTCAGCCCCCACCGACAGCAAGGCCATGGCGCTCACAGTCTCAGCCTCCTCTGTCTCACCTGCCTGGGCCTCCCGCAGGGAACGGCCCAGACCAGCAGCAAACCTCTGCACACAGCTCCAGTGTTTGCCTGTGGACGAGGGGTGGACAGGGGGTCAGAGAGGGCAGAAACCCCCACATGTATATCCCCAGCCCTGGTGTACCCACAAGCTCCTCCCCACCCCTTAGCAAGCCAAGGTCTGAGCCCCTCCGCCTGTCCCCGACGCACTCTGGATCTCGATGACTTTCTCTAGTGTGGCCACTGCATTGATGTTGGGCTTTTGCTGCAAGATTGCCTCGTCCAAGGGCTGCAGCTAGTAGGAGAAAGAAGAGAAGGTTTAGGGTGGTGAGTGAGTGGCAGGGCCTGCCCCTCTCATGACCCCGCTCAGTCCCAGACATCTCCCATGACAGGAGGAACCCCAACTCAGAAAGCCCTCCCTGGACACCAGCTGTCCTTACGACCCAGGAAAACCTTCCCAAAGGCCCTCGGTGCTGCTTGACCCAAGGAAGAGGCCCTCCCTCCTGGTCTCTCAGCCCCTGGCCTACAGGCCCACCTCCCCCAACCCCTCCCTGCACCACTCACCTCCACGCTGAGCAGAGCTGAGACGCAGGCCTCAGAGGCATCACAGATGGCGGTCAAGTCGTGGCCTCCCTCCAGGGCCAGCACCACCCGGCCCCCTGCCAGCGTCATCAGCTGCCTGGTCAAGTGGCCAAAACCTTTAGGGATGGGTGAAGGGAAATGAAATAGTAAAAAAAAAAAAATCAATTCAAGAGAAAATAAGAAAGAAGAGAAAAAGAAATACAAGAGGTGGGACAAAGAACACAACATAAGATGGTAGATTTAAACCCAAATATATGTGTCCATAATAAAATTCAATGTCAGTGGACTAAATGTTCCATTAAAGACCAAACATAAAAGACTGGATAAAAAATTCTAATTACATGTCTTACAAGGAGCACCACCGAAATATGAGGGATCCACAAGCTCCATCCTTATGCCTCTGGGAAGACATACACCCTCTGATACCCCACCTCCCACCTGCCTGGCCCTCAAGGCCAGGGTGGCGGGATGGGTGCTGCTAGGATGATTCCAAGTCTTGGACCTGCCCCCAGCTCGCCTCCTCCCAACCTCTGTAATATCCATCTATTCCTGCTCCATGCCCCCACTCAACCCCATCCTCACTATTTCACAGCCTCCCTCAATCCCCCAGCAGGCTCACATCTGGCGGTGACAGAGTAGCCACCCAGCGGAGACAGGTGTCCCTCAACAGCATCAAACCCGGCAGAGACTAGGACCACGTCAGGTGAGAATTCGTGGGCAATGGGCATCACCACTGTCCTGCAAAGGGAGGGCCCAAGCTGACCCTAGTCGGTGGCTGGGCAAGGCCTGGCCCCACTCTGTGTCCCCCCAAGAGACAACCCCCTCCACCCACACCGAACTGAGTGCCTTCTGTCCCTCCCACAACAGGGCCCCAGGGTTCCCACCCCTCCCTTGGCCCTTCTCAGTCCCCACCTGAAGGCCGTTAGGTACTCCACGTCTCCGATGGGGGGGTCCACACCTCCCGTCCATGCCACGTTCACATTGTACCCCACGCCTGGCCCACCGCCAACCTGGCAGCATGGTGGGGGAGGGGTTATTCTCACTGCCTGGGGATCCCAGACATTGCCCCCACCCTCAGCCCTGCCTCCAGCCCTCACTCCATTGACCTCTGCTAAGCATGGAGGGGCAGATGGCTGGCATGGTCCTCCCACTAGGAGTCCCAGCACCACCATGGGCCTCCATGGCTCCCTGCCAGGTCCCATTCTGCTACCTCCCCAAGGAGCCCCACATTTCAGCCCAGGAGCTGTACCTCTTCAGGAGCCCCAGAGCCTGGAAAGAAGTTCCCATTGTCATAGCGATGCAGGGAGATGTAGAGCACAGAGGGGTCATTGTAGAACGCTTGCTGGGTACCATTGCCATGGTGAATATCCTAGTGGGGAGGGTGTAAGCATCAGGGAAATGACCCAGGCTCTGGCCCAAAGGTCAAAAGTCTACTTGCCTCACCCCACCTACAGTGAGCTCTTTGGGTACAGCCCACCACTAGCTACAGGTATCTGTGTTCGTTCACAACAGTGTCAACTCCATGTTTCTCTAACCAAGGTCTGTGGCCCAGGACGTGGCATCTCGCAGGGAAGAGACAAAGCCATGGGACAAATGTGGCTAATCTCCCCAGGAGCCCATTCTACTCAACAGTGTAGGGGGCAACATAAGGCTAGTAAGGAAGTGAAAGCAGACAGATACACTCTGAAGAAGACTCCAACATTTACATGAATTTTTAAGCCAAAGCTGGCCTTCAAAGAGATTTCATCCTTGCTGAGGATTGCTCCTGGCTACTTCCTTGGCTCACAGGGAGTAGTGGGTGCCTTTCCCTCTGCCATGAGAGGTAGGGTTTGAGAAGCACCACGCAGGAGCAAGAGCAGAAGTGTCAGGACCAAAAGGCCTGATCTGAAACACAGTGCCAACATCCCAACCTAAGCGGCCTTGGTTGGGTAAGTCACCCAACAGCTCAGTGTCTCCATTTATAGAAATGGACATCCAGTTCTTATTATGTGAGGTGGCCGTGAACAGCACCATGGCCTGGCACGTGGTCAGCCCCCACTCAAGAGTGGCTCTAGCAATGGTAGTAGCAGTCTCTGCTGTTCAAAGGAGGAAGTCCCTTCAGTTGCTTGAGGCTGCAAGGTGGGGGCCAAGATGGACCAGGGGCTAAAACCACTTTTTGAGTCTCCCCTACTGAACAGGGAGCCCTCTGGGAATGTGAGGGCTGGGCTAATGCTCCAGCAGGAAGGTATAATGTTAGTCATTAGGCCCAGCTCCAACAGAGGCACCTGAGGAAGAGGGGCGGGGGGGTGGGGGGGTGGGGGGGGGCGCTTCCTGAAGGCTGACCCTGGCCCCACCAGCGCACTGCCTACCCAGTCTACGATGAGAACCTTGCCCACGTTCAGCTTCTGTTGCAGGAGTTTGGTTGTGATGGCTACAGAGTTGAAGAAGCAGAATCCCCTGGGAGGTGGGGGGAGAAAATGGCATGAGGTCAGCCTTAGCAGATGTTCACTCCATGAGCAATAGATACCGCATCAGCTCAGCTGAGAGGGAGGAGGGGTGAGGGCAGCAGGTCTACTACAGGGCTGGGGTGGCACTCACATGGCTGTGGATTCCTCAGCATGGTGTCCTGGGGGTCGGATGATGGCAAATCCATTCTGAAGAGGTGCAGACAGAGGGACAGAGATAAGAGACAGACAGGCAGGCAAGGTGGCCACAGAGTGGGTGGACACACAGAAGGAGAGAAGCATAAGCCAGGCAAGGAAGGGAACACAGATCAGAAATATATATCCCACACATCTTTAGGAACGCCCGCTATGGGCCAACATGGGCAAGCAGACACCATCTCTGGCTCAGGATACCCATGAGAGCACCAGACATTAATGCCTCTTTGTTGGTCCCTCTATACCCCTCACCCCCTAGCTGGTCCTAGAGCTGTCACTTCCTCCCAACTCTGGCACCTGAGAGTTGAGGTTGCAAAGGACAGTGCCATACTGATGGGAAAGCCAAAGCTGCCCCCATCTTGCACTCCTGAGGATGCAGGACCAAGCCAAGTTGTGCTGAGTCTCCCAGCACGCACTCACCTTGAGCTCTCCAGCCGCCACCTTGAAAGCCAGCTCCACCAGGCAGCCCACCGCCATGCGCACAGCACTGGAGGAGTGCATCTCGTTCCACACGGTGTCACTGTCCACCTGCGGGAGCAGGAGAGCAGGCTTCAGCGTGCCCCCTGCAGGGGGAGGGCAAGAATGGGGGTGGGCACCTGGATAGCAGACCAGCAGCGAGAAGAGAAGGGCCAGAGCTGGAAGAGCCACCCTCCCATCTCCACTGGCAGGTGCCCTACTCACCCCGATGCCCCCACAAGGCAGCATGGCGTACATCTTCTGGCTGATGGGGCCTGCAGAGAAGAGGGACAGGGCTACTCTGGAGGTTGCCTCGACTGCCAGGGCTGCAGGGTGGGGTCTGCAGAGGGCAGTGAGCTCAGTCATAGAAAAAGGTGGCCAAACCCAAGCACAGGACAGGTTTCTGCAGCCCACATCGGTTGGGAGATGTCTGTCCCCTATTCTAGGGGGACATCCTATCCCTGGGGCAGATGGCAGGGAGAAAGGGGAACGATCGGTAAGGAGAAGAGCAAACTGTTCCCCCATCACCAAGCCTGACCCGTCGCCTTCCATCCTCCTGCAATGCACCCTACCAGCACGTTCTGTTCATGTTGTAGTCTATGTGAATGGCACGCCCTGGAGGTATGCAACGTGGCCACTGTGCCACCTCTGCCACAGGGATGACCTGTGCCCATTGGGACCCACTTGTCTACCCTGACCGAGTAGTCTTCTGAACCATCCCACCTACCCCTATCCCACCTAGGCAGTGGACAAGGCCTGGCCCATGCCCTGCCCACCAGCCCGTCAGCTCTCACCGAGCAGCTTCTTGCTGTCCAGCTTCTGTCGGTTGAGGGGGCTGGTCCCATAGAGCAGGGTGTGGTATTCGGAGTGCACAGTCTGGATCTCATCCAACGTGGCTTTGCGACCCCGGATCCGCTGCCAGGGGAGAGCAGGAGAGGCCAGTGAGGGGTGGCACTGGAGGTCCAGTTCTCCTTGATGCCCACACCCTCTCTGCCCCACATGGAGCCACTTTCTGGCCCCCTGGGACTCCAGTCCAGGACCCTCTCCAGTGAGCTGGGGACCATTGAGCTGGGGAACACAGGCTGCAAGAGGTGGAACCGGAAGGTGGCTCGGGGGACTGGCCGTGAGGTTGGAGTTGAAGAGAGGATGAGGAAGAGACACAGAGAGAGGCTTCACCAACAGGGGAGATGCAAAGGCTTTGGCTGGGTTGGAGTTGGGGGCTGGAGGAAGGAAGGGTTCCCCTTACCTCGCACTTGCTAAGCAGGCCTGTCTCCTGCAGCCTGGACCAGATGCTCTGAATCCGGCCGGCGTGCTCAGGGTGCACATGTGTGTTCCCACACATGCACTGGTGCTTGAGCATGAAGGTATCGTAGACCACACCTGGGCCGGAGACACACCTGTCAGCCAGCACTGCTCTGGGCCTTGTCACAGTCTGCCCCTCTTCTCTTCTCCTGACATGCCTTTCCTCCTTTACTGCCTGTCAGATGCCTCCCTACTCCTCAGGCCTCAGCCAGGCTGCCCTCAACAGTTTTGATCTCTGCCCACCATGCCCCCACACTGTTCCCCTCTCACCACACCTCCTCCTTCCCCACCTCCCGTCACCGCCCCTATGTGCTGTTCCCCCTACATCCCACTGGTGAGATGGGACCATCCTCAGGCATCTGTGCCCCCTCAGAGCTCTCATGGGGCAGCTTCACACCGAAGAGCTTTCTGGAATGGACTTAGGCCTCATTCTTGACCTCACGGGGAGAAGGAGGGGAAGCTAGAAGGGCAGGACCCAAGTGGGACAGTGGGCTCGCTCCACTCAGTGCTCCAGGACTTGTGCGGTGATGGCACAGAATCAGGTGGCTCTCTCAGCGGTGGTGCGTGGGGGCTCTGAAAAAGATGCTGTCCCAGTGGGTAGGGACAGGGCACTCACCACCCTCTCAGTGGGGTAGAGGCTGCCACCACTACCAACGGTGGCTGTGGTACACAGGGAGAGAACAAAGGCCTGTTTTCTCTCCCTTCGTGGAGCTTTGAGGGGCCCTAGCAGTCCCTTCAGGGTAGGGGCTACAGCTCTTCACAATGCCCACAAGGCTGGATGTCATGCACAGGCCCCTGGCACATGGTGGACGGACAGCCGGTGATAGTGGGGCTCACCTGTGGTGAAGAGGTGCTTGGTGGGCTGGTCTGGGGGGCTCTTCATGCCCCCAGGGGCAGCAGGTGAGGACTGGGTGCGGCCCAGGGCCTGGTGGGGCACAGTGGCCAGGCTGAGGGGTGCCTGGTACACCTGCAGCGGCTGCAGCTGCTGGACATCTGAGAACACCTGGGAAGGAGGAGAGTGGGTGCTGAGGCTTAGCGTGAGAGAAGTGAGGAAGGAGGCCCCAATCCAGCCCTACTCTTCCAAACCTCCTCCTTCCCCACCTCCTCCCTCCAGGGACAGGAGACACTCTAGCCTTTACCATCTCCCTCTCTCAGGAGATAGGGAGGGATGGGGGGACGTGATGAGTCATGCCAGAGTAGCATTGAGGTAAGAGGCTGGGAGGGATGGGGGCGTGGGAGGGGGCGGGATGAGTCAGGCCCTGAGGGCTCGGTTATGTCCGCAATGAATGGAGTGTGTGCTAGGTGCAGGGCAGACTGTAGTAACAGTGGGGGCGGGTGTGTACACACGCGCACAAGCACGCAGAGACCGACGCACAACCAGCCCTACGCAGGCAGAAACGCAGATACACACAGGCGGGTGCACACGCGCGCGCGCGCACACACACACACACAAGCAGACAGGCGGGGGCAGTCACAGATGCAGGGAGGGACTGGCAGACTGGGGCACAGACAGCTCCCTCCCTTCCACAGCCCCTTGTCTCTATCCTCCTCCCCTTCTGCTCTCAGAAAAGCTGCTCCTGCACAGCCTGGAAACTGTAGACTAGGGAGAGGGAAGGCAAGCGTGCAAAGGAGCAGGGGGACAGAGGGGTGGTGATCAGGGGCTGGCGTGGAGGGGGCACCTTTTTGTAACCAGCACTGGACTCCTCCAAGTCGGGCCCCTCCTCAGCGCCACTCTCGCCCTCCTCATCCTTGACCTGGATGCAGTCCTCCTCCTCCTCCTCCTCCTCCTCTTCCTCCTCCTCCTCTTCCTCCTCCAGGTCTTCCTGCGTGCTCTCACTCTCCGTGGACCCTTCTCGGGGTATGGTCAAGGCTCCCTCCCCCAGCAAGGCCTCCTGCTGCTCCGTCAGCTCCTCTTCTGTCTCCTCAGGGTGGGTGGTGGGCTGCCGTGGCAGCTCCCCAGTCTTGGTGAGGATCTGGAAGCACAGCGGAGGGGGCACATGAGCTGGGAAGGGGAGCAGCTGTGCAGCCTGAGGCCCGGAAGGTCTTATCCTTCCCTCCCCTCTCCCTGGCAGCCGCCCAGCCCACACAGAGCTTCTATGTGAATTAGAAAAAGGTAAGGTGGCTCTTCCCATCAAATGCAGCCCAGAGAGTGGCCTAAGGTATCAGCCCCCACTCCCCTCTGCCAGCCTGGTGCCCTCCTGCACCCTGCCCCCGGCACAGCCCTGGACACTCGCTTCTCCCAGCTCACCTTGCCCAGCTGCAGCTGCTGCTGCTTCTGCTTCTCCAGGAACTGCTGGTGCTGCTGCTGCATGACCAGCTGCTGCAGGGCCTGGGGGCTCTGGGGTAGCGGCGAAGACTGAGTGCGGCTCAAGGGCCGGTGCCGCGGGAGCTTGCCCACTGTCCGCATGCTGGTGGCCACGCGTTCACCTGTCACCAGCGGGGACTGCCCGTGAAGTGGCACTGTGGGGTGAGGAGAAGGGAGTAACCATCATTGTTGGGGCACAAGGCACCCCCATCCCACCCTGAGACTCTCCCCTCCTAGAACACCACCACCTACACACTCAGGAAAACCTTGGAGGGGCCTGGAGCATCCTGCCCCCAAATCTGACCCTCATTCTTCCTCCTCCCCACAACTGAACCGTTTCACAGCTCAGAGCCACTGCCTCCAGCAAGCCTTCCTGGATTCACCATTCTCTCCCTCTGATTCGTTTATGATTGCACATATAGTCAAGCACCACATAATGATGTTTTGGTCAATGACAGACCACATACATGACAGTGTTCCCATAAAATTAGTACCAGATAGCCTAGGTGTGTAGTAGGCTGTACCTTCTAGGTTTGTGTAAGGACAGTCTATGATGTCCACACGACGACAAAATCACCTAACGATGCATTGCTCACAGCATGTCCCTGTCGTTAAGTGATGCATGACTGTATAGTCTCAGGCTGTCTGTGAGTGAACAATGACTAGTTCTCCCCAACTGCAACAAGACCTCTGATCGTGGACATGGACCCACCAGGCTGGGAAGCCTAGGGGCCAGGATCACGTGGCTTGTAAGCAGAACCTCTTCTAATGCCACCAGCTACTTAAGGGCTGAGTGTCCAAAGCTGTGCTGTCCAAACCCATAACTGCCAGCCACACGTGACTACTGAGTGCTTGAAACATGGCCTGTCTACACTGAGATGTGCTTGAAGTACGAAATACACACTGGATTTCAAAGACAGCGTGAAACAGAGTAAAACATCTCACTGATGATTCTTTCTATTGATTATATGTTGCAATGATAATGTTCTAGATATAATGAGTTAAATGTTATTAAAATCAATTTCACCTGTTTCTCTTTACATTTTTCAATGTGGCTCTAGAAAACCTTAAATTACACATGCGGCTTGTGTTACATTTCTAGCGGACGGCGCTGCTCGGGAACGTGAGCTCCATCACGGCTGCAGACGTTGTCGAGAACAGCGCCTGGCAGGCTGCAGGTACTCAACAACGTCTGTAGAATGTAGGAGAAATCAATGAAGCCATTGAGGGGAGCTATGACAAGGCAGGAAGGTATCCCTGGCTACTTCTCCCTGATGGTTGGCTCTGCCTTGAGCCCCCAGAAGGGGGCCCTGACACCCCCTCCCTTGCACAGCCACTTGTCCACTCACCAGCAATGAGGGTACTCTGCTGCCGGGCCTGCTCCAGCAGCAGCACATGCTGCAGCAGGGAGGCGTGACCATGGGGGCTCGTGTCGCCCTCTAGTGCCACGCCCAGCAGGCAGCCAGGGATGGAGGATGTGCTCATGAACTTGCCCGTCAACGCGCCACCCTGCCGCAGGGACTGAAGGGCCTGCCTCTCGGCCTCCTGCTGCGATGACAGCTTCGGGGAGGCCTGGGGGTGGGGAGGGGAAACGGAGATGAGGGAGGGGCTTATACTGCTCCCAGGCTTGCCAACTTTGGACTAGCATCCCTCATCTGCCCTCTGCCCACCCCCTAGCTCTGGGCAGAGCCATCTGATCTCCCTTAGGGCCCTGGGAGGACAAAGGCCCCAGCTGAGGACATCCAGGACCAAAGACCTCAACACCAGAGGAATGACGGGGTATGTGCCTCATACTCACAGTGATGTGTGAGTTGGTGACAGTGACCGTGGCCTGCAGCCCTAGGGAGATGTTGGGCAGAGAGGGAGACGTGTAGAGGCTGAACTGGTTGGGGGAGCTGTCCAGAGGGAGGGCCCGGTGCTGGGGGAGCATCTGGGGAGTAGTCGGGAGAGACAGGCATGAGAGAGGCAATGGGAGGCCACCCGGGGCCGAGGCCGAAGGCTCTATGGTGCCCCACTCCCCTAACCAAGTCCCACCTGCGGGAAACTGAGAGATCAGAGCCTTTCAGAGGCCCATGGGACAAATCCCACTTCAGGGCAACAGGTCCCTTCAGCCTGTCCACACAGGCAGAGAAGTCCCTGCTGGGCACTCTCAGCAAGCCAGACCAGAAGGAGCTATCCAAGGGAAAGGGAGCAGCTCTGACCCGCCCGCCCAGCCCTCAGCAGGCCTGTACCTCGGTGGAGATGTTGGGGACTGAGCCAGTAAAGCCATTCTCAGCGATGGTGCTGTGGGAGCTGTTGGGAGAGCTGGGGCCAGAACCTGGCGCGCTGTTACACACGGACGACACTATGGGAGAAATGGCTGTCACCTGGGCCTGCTTGGAGCCACCCCCCAACTCCGAGGCCCTCAGAACAGGAACAGGAGGGGAGCCTTACCTCCAGGCCCAGCCCCTGTGATCTCCACAGCTCTCTTCTTAAAGGTGCTAATGACAGTCCCATCTTTGCGACGCAGGAGGGGACTGCTTCTCCGCTCGGCCACCTTCTGCTTTAGTCTCGAACGCACTTTCAAGTTGGGTTCAGAGGCTGGGGAGAAGGTAGCCGGGGCTTGGATACACCCACACAAATGGCACACACCTGCAACCCAGCCCCTCTACATTCCCACCTCTACTTCCGAGGAGCCACTTCCTAGGAGGCCAGGTTGCACACTCACTCACCTGTTTTGCGGAGGGGGAAGTCATCACGGCTGTCGTAGGGCCCAAGCAAAGGCAGTTTGTAGGAGGGAGGCGTCCCAGGGGGACCGCTCTGGGGAGGGGAACTCTGGTCCAAAGAAGCATGGTGGGCTCCCCTGGGGGGTGGAGGGTAGGATGGAAAGAGATCCAGGTTATCACCCAGCCAGCTGGACCTGCCACTTAGCAATCTACATGTATGAACTATCTAGTGCATATAGGAATAGGAAGTGGCTTCTGGGGAGGGAAGCCAGGAGAGAAACCAGGGCTGGGAGTCTCGTCTCCCAGGAGAGACTGCAGGGCCTGTATATAGCATCATATATGATCAAGGGAGCCCCTTGCCAGCTTGTAGCCAGGCAGCCCCAAGCAGAGCGCCTCTGCGATCCATGCCTGCCAAGGGCCATTACCAGCATTTGGGATGCTGTGGGAGGGAATGGTTGAGGCCGCCTGGCGTGGGCTCCTTTGACTTCGACAGGAGGAATTCCTGGAGCCTCAGCTTCACCTCAGTGCTGGCGATGGCACCTGCGGGACAGGGCACAGCTGACCTGGGTGCTTGGGGCCAGGACCCCACAGCTAGGGGCAGGGGCAGGAGTCCCAGCTGGCCCCAGGAGGCCCCCGGCCTTACTCTCTTTGCTCTTCTCCTTGTTTCGCAGGACGAGCAGCTGCTGCTCCAGCCGCTGCTTCTCCAGCTCCTCCTGCCGTTGCTGTTCCCGCTGCCGCTGCTGCTCCAGCTCCTGCTGCCTCTTGGCTGCCAACATCTCCTGCTGCTGCTGCAGAGGCACAGAGGGAGGGAGGCAGGGTGAGAGAGGTCCAGGGGTGGGGGTCTGGGGAGCCCCCCGCACCCCCCTCACTCACCTTGAGGTGCTTCTGCAGCTGGACCTCATGCTGCCGTGTCAGGTGGTCGTGCTGTTTCTGGAACTCAGCGAACAGGAGCTGCTTCTGCAGCTGCTGCTGCTGCTTGAGCACCAGGAGCTCCTGCTGCAGTTGCTGCTCCCGCAACGCGGGGTCCACAGGGCCTGCCAGAGCACCCCGCAGCTCCACAGGGCTGGGGCTGCCTCCACCCCCGCCCCCCATGGAGCTGGGCATGGCTCCTGGCAGCACCGGCTTCACCTCCACTGCGGGGAGAAGAGATGAGAAGGGGTCAGTGGGCCCCATCCAAGACCCCACGAGACCCTGGCAGTCATGCCTGGGACCCAGAAAGCTACTAGGCAGGACTACTAGACCCAAAGAGAATTGAGAGAGGGAAGTCAAATCCCTCAGCTCCGTGGATACAGCCTTCCGCCTTAATTAAAGGAGGTCGAAGCCATGAACTTCAGTAAGATTATATAAACAAGACTGAAGCACGGTACCTGGAAGATTATGAGTGCTTGACACATAATACCGTCACTGACAGTTAACACCACCAGGCATTTTATGTGAATTACTTTACTGGTGAGGAAACAGGTTTACAAAGGTTTAAGTAACACGACAAAAGACATCCAGCCAGGTCCTTGATGGACCAGGATATGAATCCAAATCCTATGCTTTTAACCACTGTCCTTCCTGTGCCACCTCCTCCACTCTCAACACCACACACTCCCCACCAAGAAGCCTGTACTAGAAGAGAAACTGAGGCACAGAGGTTGGTTCTAGAATGGATGGGATTGGCAGCCAGGGCCCTCAGGAAACCCAGGCCTGTGGGGACCCTCTGGACATCCCTACCCTCTTCCCTTTCCTCTGTCCCACACCAGCTGGGGCAGACAGGGGAGGGAGGGAGAGGTTATGGGAATTGGGTGGGGTGGGAACAGAATGCCTCAGGGAAAGGGGGTGCAGGGCTGCACCAAAGCAGGGACAGAAGGGGGCTGGGAGTCAGACTCGTTTCCTTTGCTGGATTATCTCCTTTCAACAGTTTTATTGTAATTACCCTGAAAATGCCGCTATATATAGAGTGAGCCAAACAGCAGCTGTGCTGGGGGGAGGGGGGAAGGAGAGAATGGGCGGGCAAGCGCAGGGAGGAGGTGGGAGGAGGAGACAGGAAAGGAAAAGGAATCAGACAGGAAGAAGGGTAATGGCAGGAGGGGCTGGAGCTGAGGCAGAGATCTCAGGACTCCAGTCCCAGGGAGAACCCACTGGCAAGGGGAAAGGGGCCGAGGGGCCTGCTGGGTCCCAAGACCTTGGGTCCAGGCCACCATGTGGACAATGGGCCACAGGGAGTGGCAAAAGGTTCCAACAGCTTTGTGGGAGGGCTGAGTCTCGACCTCTTGAGCTCTGTACACTGTCCTCTGGTCACTGACTGTCACTCCCCACCACGGCCCCGCGGTTGCCAGGGCAACCAGGCAAACACCACATCAGCAGGGAGCCCCAAGCCCAGCCCACATGCCACAAAGCCTCCTGAAGCCAGCAGGAAGGGGAAGACAGGCTACCCACTGCCTGGGAAGGAGGAAGTGAGAGAGGCAGGGCCAACCCGTCTTATTTCTTTTCCATTTCTTTCTCCAAAGAAAGCCCTCACTTTCCTCACTCCAGCCCAGGAAGGCCACAGGGAGCTGGGAAGACTTTCTTGTGGCCCACTCCAGCCCAGGCCTGGAGAAGGAAGGACCCCACCATCCTGCTGGCGGCCAGCGTCTCCTGCACTTGTGAGCAGGCCTCTTGCCTAGGCCCCCCACTGCCATCCCTCATTGGGAGTAGAGAGGGAGCTGGGAGAGGGGCTAAGGGCTGAGCTAAGAGAGGCTCCCACAACCTGTGCAGTCTATGGGCCTGGATCTTTCCAGGGAGCCTGCACTGAATGAATGTCACCAAGGCAGGGGCAAGACCTGCTGAAGACCAAGGCCATGCTACCCTCATGCCTGAATAAGGCCTCTGGGACCCACTGGAGGTGGGGATGGAAGGTAACGCCTGGGTAGAATGTCTCTCTTGATCCCTACCAGCTCCTTCTCCCCCCAGTACTGCTAGGCACATTCCTCTGTGGTTTGCCCGCCAGCCACACTGACGACTCTGTGGCCACAAGGCCAGAGCCACATCTGCAGGAGTGGCCAGATGTGGCCAGGAGGGTGGAGTTACACACACACACACACACACTCACTCTCCCTCCCAACCTATGTCCTGCCCTAACACCAGGGGGAAGGGCCCCTAGAAACTGCAAAGGGCCTTTCTAGAGGTGGCCGGCCTGTCCCGGGTACAAAGCAGGGTGGCAGCAAGGAGCCAGCAGCCAGCCTCAGGTCTGCCTGGCCCTGGAAATGCTCAGCAAGGCCCCAAGCTGGCTGGAGATTTATCTGTTCCTAGGCAAGGCTGGCTTGGCCTGTGGCACTCTGATCGCTCAGCCAAGAGGTGGACGGGCTTCAACCTGCTGCTCCCGACTGTGCTGGGGCTGCGGGAGCCGGATGCCAGCGTGCCCGCCCAGGGAAGGGCAGGGGTCCAAGCACTCCTGGCTCCCAGCAGATAACCCCGCTCAGGCTGGAACTGCCGCCAACCATGCTGGCTTCCCTTGCAGGAGCCCTGCAGAGAGGGCACAGGCTCAGGCAAGGGGAATCTCCCACCAGGGCTCCCGCACAGCCACCACTGCAGCAGAGACACTAGGGCCTACACCGCAGCGGGAGCCATAGTCCCATTGGTATGCAAGTGGCAGGGCAGCCAGCAGGCTGTGCCACACAGCCTTGTTCCCATGCAAGCAGGAAGCACGAGCGACTGGAGAATGTTAATCTGCAGGCCCTGTGGGGCCTGGACAGGATGTGACATGCCAGGAGTCTGCCAGGTAGTAACATGGCTCCATCCAAGATGGAAGAGGCCACGGCTGGGCAGCTGGAGTCAGGGAAAGGATAGGGGGAGGCACAGAGCCCCCTGAATGTAGTCTGCTCGGCACAAAACCTAGAGCCTGGCTGGCCTTGCACCCCCTCGTGGATCTGTGCCCTCTGCTAGCTTGGCACAAGCAGAGCAGGTGGCAGTGCCATCAGAACCAAGCACCTGGAAGGGGAAATGGGTGTGCCATGATAGGAGGAAACTCCTGACCGCCTCCTGGTGGACCGAGAAAGGTGGAGGAAAGGGAAGAGAGCGGGCAGAGAGACAGTGTTCCCTAAAAGACGGGCTGGGAGCTCTGGCTAGCAAAGAGCCCCCTGAAAGGCCAGGGGAGGGCTCATGTGGGAGGGCGAGGCCCTGGGTCCTCCCCTAACCCCATGCCTCCTTCTCACAGAGAGCTGTAGGGAACAGAGAGGAAGCCGGAGAGCCGACACAGCAATCTCCTGCAGAGGGAAGACGGAAGGGTCCAGGGCTACCTGCCCCATACTCCACTCCTCCCCAGGGACTCGGACCCTTCCTCCTGGGAGTGGTGGCCTTGGGAACAAATGGCAACACCATCCTGTTCTCTGGCCTTCTGCAGGACTGAGGGACACTGCCTCCATGGAGAAGCCCCTGCCCAGGTAGCTGGGTGGGCAGGGCTACGTATTTCTAGCCATCAGAGTGGCCTCACACTTACGAGGCTCTGGCTCCAAGGGGCCACCCTGCCCAGCTCATGGGCACAACTGGGCAGTGGCAACACCTTAGCGACACTTCCTTCCCATCACTGGGCCTCCCCCATCTCCAGGAACCCCGTCAGCCCACTGGGGGCTCCCACAGCAGATTCTCTGGACAGCAGAACCAGGGACAGCCTGGCTCCTTGGGATATATACAGGTGCTGACGGGGCACTCTGGGACAACTGCCAGCATAGCCCTAGACTAAAAAAGAGTGTCCAGGCAAAGGGAAACTGCCCCCAAGCAGACAAGGGGCTCTGGGACACAAGGAGTAGGTTCTAGTAGCACTTTGGGGAACAGAGGTTCAAAATAAAAAACAGATCTAACTGCCCAGGAGCAAGGCCTCCTGCTCTCAACACACCACAAGCCAGGCCCCAGCTCCAAGCCCTCTCTTGGAGGAGTCACCAACTCCGGAATCCCTGGGAGGCACACCCTGGGAGCAGGGAAATGCTACTTTTCGTTCCCCCTGGAGAAGCTCTGGATGGAGGGGGCAGCACAGGGGTGGACCCACCTCCAGACCTAAGAAGCTAAACATTTGGCTCTAAAAAGACCGTTCTCCCAAGAGCCACCAGCCACTGAAGGCCAGGGTAGGAGGAGGGGTCCAGGGTAGGTAGAGTATGAGGGAGGGGTGCCTTAAGCTGTTTGGAATGTCTACACAGGACAAAACGAGGCCTCTGCAGAAGCCCTGGGGCTGAGGAGCTACCATGGAGAGAGTAAAGGGGCCTGGAGACCATCTGTTTCAGCCCCCTCATTACACAGACGAGGAGACCAAGTCCCTTCGAGAGGCTACGGTGCAGAAGACCCCACCAAGTAAATAGCAGCGACTCGAACCCAGCTGTCCTGACTCCCAGCTCAGGCAGGCTCCCTCTGAACACGGACCTGTGCAGCCTGGCTCCAATTTGGGGCATCCCAGGCCCTCAGTGTGAGCCAGCCCTGGATAACTGCCCTCTGGAGAGCAAAGGGCTGGCAGCCCACCCTAAAGGGCAGCACCTTCCACCAGCACCCACGCCCTCAGGACCCCCCTTGCCAGGCTGGGGAATCAGCAGCATCCTTAAAATCTAATGACCTCATTCTATCCCTCTGGAGAATGGGAAAAGGCTCTTGTCCCTTTCTTGGCCTTGAGAGAATTTGGAAGGGGGCAGGGAACAGCATTTCACACTCCTCCCTATGACGCCGATGACCCCTCCCCACCGAGGACGGTTTCCCATGATCTATTTCTGTGCTCTTACGTGACTAGTGAAGCCAATTTAGGCTCAACAGGTTCCACCGCAATTCAGACAGTATTTCCACATGTGCAAGCTGGGGATGACTCTCACCTAGCAATTTTCACAACTCCTCACGTAACACAAGCAACACACATCACATCATGGTTAAGAGCAAAGACTCCGGCATAAGAGAATTCCAGAGTTCAAGTCAGCTTGCCACTTCATAGGACAAGGCACCGATCACCTCCCCGTGCTCCTGCGGGCATTTGTGAAATGGGAGCAAGAATGGCACCTGCCTCCCAGAGCTGTCAGGCTCAGGAGAGAGCACACGTGCAGAGGAGCTTGGCACAGGGCCTGGGACGGTCTCAGGAGGTGCTAGTCAAGGCTATTATTAATGGCTCCTGACATTTTGTGTGTCCTGGACCCCTTTG